CTTTGAATTAAATACAATGAATAGTTGGTTTTATGTTGGATTTGTAGAAGGAAAAGACCAGTGTAAAGAGAATGAAGCACAAGATAATAATTTTAATGCTAATGTTAAAGTAGATACTGGTACAAGAAAGCATAAAATTCCACCTGAACTAATGCATTCTTTTAAAACAATGCAAGACCAAATAAAACAAAAACACAGTGCTAAACAATCTCCAGATAATTCTACACACACATACACGTACATAATGCTACAGTTATCTGTAATTGTACATTTCTGGGCACAAGAGGGCAGCAGAGAGACATTTATAGTACCTTTCCACAAATATGGCCCATATTCTACACTTAATATCACCCAATGCTGATGTAATCTGGTCACATTACAGTAAATGCAGACAGCTGGAAACAGCTTTCCTCAGTATTATTCATGATGGTCATTTGTGTACTTGTGTATGTTACCTGAGAGTAATCTGGTTTGAGAGGTGGGTTTTCTCGCAGTTCAGGGTCCGTGTATTCATTGTTGACATAGTAACCGATGCGGATGAACTCCTGTCCACGGTAGGTGCAGGTTATAAGGACTACGGTCACTCCTACAGCATCGCTTTCTGGAATCAGCCCTGTGTTAGGAGCGTCAGCCTGATAGGGTAAATGAGCACAGAGAAGAAATCAGATGAAATCTAATTATGCTATAAATGAAACAGTAACTGGTTAACCAAACCAGGGATATCAAATACATATATGATATTGTGCAAAAGGAGTATGTGAAAAATCCCGTTTATAACAATTTTCAAGACATGGAACACTCAAAGAGCTTTATAGAGGTTAAAAAGACAAAATTGATACAAATGAACTGAGAAAAAACACAAACATAACCCAAATGCCTGTCTGAACAGATGCATTTTAAGCTGCTGTTTAAAGGATGTCACTGAGTGGGAAGTGCAAAGAATGAGTGGGAAGCTGTTCCAAAGTTTTGGAAGCCACAGTCCCCTCTTAGTTTTCAAAAGGATATACATGTATGAAATCACAAGAAGGCCTCTGAGGACCTACGAACCCAGCCTAGAGAATAGGGGTGGAGCACTTTGATAATGTAGATGAAAAACCAAAATTTTAAACTACTCTAAACCTGACAGAAAGCCAGTGCAAAAATGTTAAAAGTGGACTGATGTATGAAGACTTTTGAGAGTCAGTTAAGAGTCTCACAGGAGCATTTTGGACAGACTGAAGGGAATTAATAGATGCTTCAGTCAGAACAGAAAACTCCATTCAATAACCTAAGCAAGAGGAGAAGGAGGCTTGGACAAGAACCTCCAATTCACTTCTTGAGAAAACAAGCTGAGGTGCTTGTCCATGCCTTCTTGTCCTCTTAAAAGCAGTCATACATCAGATGAAAAATCTGACGGTACTTTTCTGCACTTAAAGTTCACACCACTTTCTGAAATTTCTCACCATTAGGTGCCTTTTTTCTTTTACACTTGAATGGTTCATAGGTCATTGTTAAGTGACTGTAAGAAAAAAAAATCCTTTGAAAATATCCAGGTACAAGGACTACATTGAAAATTTGTGAGGAAAAAAGTAGTCAATGTCCAAAGAAATACTGAAAGGTCAGAAGACTTTGGAAAACTATTGTTCAAGACCACAAAAATGATAAGTCTTGACTCCTTGATAGCAAAATATAATAAGAAATTAGGCTTGACTTAGTATAGGCACTGTACTGTATAACTCATTGAGAAGTTGAGTGCAGAGAGACTTTGTTGACAATTAGCATCACAAAGTTCAAGCTTAGTCAGAAAAGGGGATACGATGCTGCCTCACATGGAGAAGCTCATCTGTCTTGGGATCTTGTTTAGAGACAAGGGTAAAGTGGAGCAGGAGAATGACAGATCTATATGATCTATTGCGTTCAATTGACATTTCTACCTTCACCTTTTTTTTTTTGCATATACTATTATATATTGTACATATATTTATTAGTTTCAGATTTAGCCATTTTTATATTTTGCCTGTTTATGTTATTGTATTTTGCACAACTCCTTGTGAAGCTCGCACACAAGAATTTCACTCGCATGTGCTGTACCAATGTACCTGCACATGTGATGTGACAATAAAAAGTGATTTGATTTGACCTACGGACAAAAATACAAGGTAGAGACTGACAGAAGTAGACCACAAATACTAGCGGAGACAATCCTCCACTACATCTCTGCATCAGGTGTGGTAGCAACATGTACTGATCCCAGTGAGAACCCAGCCATGATGTCTCTTGGCCGGTCTGGGAACCTCTCAGTTTCCTCTCAGAAAAGCTGGGAAAAAGATGCTGGGACAGTGCGATCTGGTATGTCTGCTTTGAATACCACTCAACAGGGTTTGTTTTAAATAAAACTGGATGTTAAGTATTACATGATAAAAGCTCACTGAGAGGACTCACCTGAAACACAAACATGTGTCTGCCAGCTGGTACAGGGCCCACTAAAACAGAGTCCAAAACCTGGTCGTACTCCTCGCTCTCAGCTGAACCCACATAAATGATCTTCCATTCCAGGTCTGCCAGTACACAGAGGACAAATAGGGAGGTTTGTTTTTAAATTATTATTATGATCACCATCATCATTATTACTACTACTACTACTACTACTACAAGGTAGGCTTAATTTTACTTTTTTAAATGAATAATTATAGTTAAACATGCACAAACTACTTTTTTTCCTTTCACACACACACACTCTCACACACACACACACACCTGTAAAACAGGGTATTGTGAATGGTACCTTCACCAGAAGGGTCACTTTATCCAATTTACATAGAAAATGTTTCATGGTTGTCCCTTTTTGTTATAGTTCACCCTGTATTAATTAGTATTAGTAATGCAAATAAAATTTACCTGTAGCACTGGCCAGATATAACCGAAACGGCATCAGTCTCCATAAAAACCTCAAGTTTCCACAATTTATTGATTTGAATATAAGGGAGAAAAACGATGTTTAATGGTGCAAATGTTGTTTTGGGATATTAATAACTGGATTTGGTAATGAAAGAAAAAACAAAAAACAAAACAAGATTTGTGACTCAGTCCAACTAGCACCACAATACGAAAGAGACAAAAAGCAATTCAGTTTGTTTGAGGTGCTGACAAAATTTGAAACTCTACTTGCTCCTAATGTGTATTTGGTAATATTATTTGGGCTCACTTTTAAATGAACGGCAGAAAACAGGAGACTAAACTTGGAAGTTGTAGCATGATGCTATTGGTAGGCTTGATTTTAAGACAGTTCAGTACATTCTATATTTAATATCTGCTTATCCATTAATTTTAAAATCAAATAAATGTTAAGGGTGCTGTGTCGAGAACTAGTAAAAAATGGGCCAAGATAGAATACGTACAAATAAATTCAGACTGAAGCTTATACTTAAATTTTGTTGACAGGAAAATAGTTTTGTTTTTTTTTTTAAATCGGAAAGGTAATGAAACTTAAGTTTCGGTATTATAGATACCAAATGTTCACAGCAAAGCAGCAAATAATATAATGCCACTTAGGGCTCACAAGTCCATTGTGCTATAATTAGTAGAAGAAAATGCGGGCTACTTTTATATCCTTAAAGAAAAATATATTTCCCCGCTATCCCGTCGCGCGGTTCGCGGCAAATTACGAGCTTGTTTATTGCTACAGTAACATGTGACCGACCAATCAGCTTCTTGAGAAATACTTACGAGGAAGGTCCTTTAACCAATAGCGGTGGGCAGGAGGCGGGGCGCTCTGCACAAACGCGCCAGCGCCAATTTTCAACAACTTTACAAATGAAATATAACTTTACAGCCCAAACGACAGCTAATACTGAATAACCATCGAGCAAAATAACGTGCTTATCGTTCACTTATGATGCAACAAATACATCCAGCGGTGAAATTAACACTTAAAGCAGACTGCGCCCACACGACGCTGCTATTCTACAGCTAACATATAACAAAAGAGTAATTCAACTAGAATGACACGCTAGCTAAATACCCACCTTCCGGCAAGTCCTCCATGCATTCAAACGTTATTTCGAACTGAAACGGGTTTCCAAACGGGCTGGGGTTATCCAACACAGCAACATTTAACACTTGTACCTTGGCCATATCTTCAGACGCACCTTAACCTGAGAAACTCTTACGCCTTTTTTTCTCTTGAACCAGATTTAGTGAGTCACTTCGCACTTTACTATCGCCGAGCTCACACGCTGTCAAAGTTGCCTGGCTTCAAAGACGCAAGTTACAGTTAGCCTCTTTTATTCTCCAAGTACACCAACAGAAGGAGCCGCTGCTTGGCTGAAGGAAGTACGTCACTTTCGTCTTCTTCGACGTCTTTATTTTACATTGTCCATAGAAGGGTGGTGCTGCCCTCCAATGGTAATTTGTTGTATTGCAGCTAGATTAAACTAAATACATAAATATCCTCGAGAAATATCAAGAAAAATATTTTAAAAATAGTGTGTATATATGCATATAGTAGAGAAATGCCAAGAGCTGACATATAAATGCCTTTCTGTTGTTTACTTGTTCAAAAGAAACAAAAAAATAATTACAATGCCACAGTTATTTAGACCTGTATATGTCTCTTCACTGACTGATCAAGTTTTCTACACAGAGGAAAAGTTTCAGACCATGAAATAAATACTTTATTGCAAAGAAATCCAAGGCGCCTCCAAAAATGACCTTTACTTCGTTTTTGTTCTAACTTTCATTTGACTTGTGTGAGAAAACCAGTAGCTGCATTGGGAGTATTTCTACAGAGCATTAATCAGTGCTGAAAACCAGTGCGTTACAGCGTGATTCTCAACATTTTCCACTGTGACTATGTTAGCTTATCAAACACAATTGCAGCCACTAAGATCAAATATGACGGCAATCTGTTCTCGCACAGTTCACAGTGCATACATTGCCATTGTAACCTAAGTTTTGAGGAAGGAAAAAAAGCTCGATATAAAATAATTTTTTTTTAAAAGGACAAGTAGTGCAGATATAACTCAGGTTATATAATTTTATTTGTTGTTACATGGGTAAACATGCTGACATTTTATTTTTGTTATTATTAACTATCTATTAACCACCTTCATACACATGATGTTACATGATGTTTTACAAACGATTCTTACATGTTTGTCCAAATATAGGTACCATTTACACTGTATTTTTTCAAAATGTAATGTAAATGTGGAGTAACTGATTATTTTTCTGTATACTACTTGAAAAATTCACCTATTATCTCCTTGCAGTCGACCAGTTCTATTCTTGCCTGTCTTCCTCTTCCTGTCTCTGTCTCAGTCCATCAGGGGACATTTGGGATGTGGTGGAAGAATGCACGTTTAAGACACTTCCTCACTGGCCTCACTACAGACCTGGAAGTCTGTCTTTAATATACAGTTTATGATTTTTTTCTTTATTTTCTCCTTCGGAAAGCTAGTCTAATTCTCTGTGTTGCTAAGGCAGGTTTTTGTTTGCCTTTTTTTAAGAAGTGTCTTACTCAACCTTTAAAAAATATTTATAGATTATTATTTTTTATTCTCTTCAGTTTCACTAATTTCGACATCCTCGGATCATGTATTCATTGACCATCTCGTTAATGGCTAAACAGGTAGAATTATGTTCCTCAGTTGTACATTCTGTTACTGTAGGCCAGTACTCAATCCAGGTTCTCTCACCAAGGACATACTGATACCTAATTTGAAAGTGAAAAACAGAAAAAAATCTTACAAATCTATGAATACTCCCAATATCACAAGAAGAAAAAAACAACAACTTACGATTGACTCTTTTCATCTTTGAAAATATCTCCAGATGTTCCCATCATAAGGAAGGTTTTGCCCACTCCCAGATCTAAAGCCATTCTGCAGTGTGGATAACCTAGGAACGTGCGCTGTCTACCCTGAGCACCCACATCATAACTTCCTGTAATCAATACATAGAAGAACAAATGCAAATAACACATAAAGGAATTTTTTACATTTTCTTTGTATTATTTGTAGCTCTAATCATCACTTCTGAAAGATTGCAAACTACCTGAAAACAAACAAACACATAAGTAGGCAGTTTGGGAAGAATTATTGGTCAGAGCCCAGAAAATGAATCTAAATCATACTTAATTGTGATTCCTTTAAAATTCACATATTAAGAAGAAGCTCAGCTATGAAAAATTAGGTGGCATTTTAATTCTGAGAAATTCTCAGCCAAATATTTGAAAATAATGATGGCTGAAAATGTCTTAAATTCAGACAAAGAAGATATCTGGTATCACCATAGGGGATCAGATAGGGAAACAATACAAATCGCAAACACTTTTGGTTCTGTCACAGGTTTAAATAAAATCAACCTACCTTCTTTGATGACTTCCAGCACCTGCACTGTGTAAATGTCTGTGGACAAACCATCTTTAAACTGTTCCACGCTCACTTTGTATGCTGAGGACAGACAGTTTGTAGACTGTTAGCTCACCTGCTCTGTTCCTTAGAGTATTTATTCCATATTTATTAAAAACAAACTTACCAAAATCTATTTTGCTCCTCACTGTAGTCTCACAAATCTTATCTTTGCGTTCATCATTGTTGATTTTTCCCTTCTTCTGCATACTACAATTCTCTGGAAATATACAACAGGCACAAAGGGATAAAGGAACTAAATGAGATTATGTGGAATTTTGTGGACTGGTGATGGCTGCATGGATCTAAGCCACATTTTAAATATGTTAGAGCTGTGTTTGTGTTATCTGCATTTGACTGACAGATGAGCTCCTATTAAACAATAGAATCATACATCTCATGGGTCAAATACATTACCAAAAACTAACTAGCAACTGCAATATACACCCAGCAGCCGAGTCATTACATCTTGGTAGTATCAGGTTGCCTCCGCAACTCGTCACAAAACATATTCAAAGAGTTGCTGGAAACATTCCTCAAAGATTTTGGCCACATTGATGCGATTGAATCACACGGGTGTATTTGTCACGGAGTGTCTAAAGTACTTTTATAGTAAAAAAAAAGAAAAAAAAACTTCCAAGTATTGTGTACAATCTACCTGTTCTAACCTTTGTATACCAAAAATGTTTAATAAAGAATTTCAGAGGTTAAAAAAAATGTATGTAGCGTCATCTCCTGCTTACCTTCAGCACATATGCATTCATCATTTCTACAGAGGCGCAGCAGCTCTCCAGTTTTCCTTTCTGGATGATAGAATCTCACACATTTTGTGTCTGCATTGACAAATAAAGATGTTTTTGCACCATTGTAGTACATTTAAAAATGTAATATTGCACCCAACCACATGAAGTGAAATCTACTGGAAGCAAAGATGAATCCTTTACGCTCAAAAAACGATTCAAAGATGCCAAACTCACGATCACTTTGTAGCTGGTCGCTGAATTCGTAGACATATACAGAAGCTGGTTGTAAGATGCCCACTCTCAGTTTCTGATGGACCCTAAAGGCAATCTCCAGCTCCGTGTAAGGAACCTAGAGGAGAGAAGTTATGAAAAGGAATTAAAAAATGATGTGAGCACAGGTCAAAAGAGAAAAAGTAGAGAGAGGGGGAACACTGATCGCTTACTTTGTTCAGGTAAATGGTGAGCAATCTTCTCTCTGACTCAGTGCTCAGCCTGTATTTTGAAATAGTGCGGGCATGCCCTTTGGCTTGCTACAATGAAACACACACATCCACGGTTCAAAATTTAAAGATGCCTCCTTAATTAGAAATACTGAATTCTGAACAATTTGAGCCCATTTGTGTTTATTTTTCTTACTAAATCCAGATCTTTTGTGCTAACAGTGAAGCCAGTTAGCAAGCCTATATCCAAGACTGGTGTGGTTGCATTACGCTCCTTGTTCTTATAGCTGTAAACAGAACAGGGAGAATAAGTAATCAAAGAATGAAAAGGCAAGAACAATTTCTTTATCAGCAGTAAAAGACACAAAAGTTACAAATCTGTATAGCTCTAAACAAGAGCTGTGAGAGAAATGTTTTAAATAAAATTGTTAGTGCTGTCAGCGCTAATCTTGTTAAAATGACATTAACGGCATAACCGCATCAACAGGGCAAATCTCCATTAGCGGGTTAGTGCAGATCGCCCCGTGCGCGGTCGCAACAGGTGTTTTTCTGCCTGGTGACTTAATTTCACAAATTTTCCAAGTGTGAGCTCAAGGTTGTTCATTTGTTGGTGGGAATAATATATAATATTGTTAAAACCTTTAACGGAAATCAAATCATTTGAAAAGTTCAATGAAATATACATATATTTATTTTTTGTCTACTTACAAAACCTTAATTTTTAGGTTGTAGATGTTTTCATCATCACCCAGCGACTCTGCAGAGGCAAAGCAATGGAAGACTTTAAATCTGATTTACAGTATTTATTTTTAAAAAGCTCGGAAAAAATCAAATTAAAATAAGAAAATTACCTCACATAGATAGTCAAAAAATGTGTACAGTTATCTTAAGATGGATAAACCGACAGAGGGCAGCAAATTACCTGGAAGGAGCTGCACTGACATGTTAAATTTCTGACAGTTGTCTTCTTTTTCTTTCGGCAGTTCATAATACAGCGACGTTATCTGTGATACAGACAACAGGAGCTTACAACAAATTCAAACACAAGGAAACAAATAAACAACAAATAAACAACCAAAACATTGCATTTTACTTACCGTCAGTGTTGCTTCTCCTGGTCCTGTGGCTGACACTTTCACGTCTTGGTTTATGACGTTGATCTGTTAAGGATGCAGAAATCAACACATAGCAAGCAGAAGGAACAGAGATGCTGTGTATTTACTTATGTGAAAAAGAACACTTTCTCACTTTAGATGTTCTTGTAGCAAAGTGGTTTTCCCAGTTAAAGTTGTATTTATCAGGCTTTGACCTCCCCGGCAACAAGATGTCCACATTCAGATCGTAATCTGGCTCTTTTTCACTGGTCCAGTACTCTGCTATTGCCTGGTACACTGTCATTGTGGCCTGGGGAGAAAAATGATCAGTGATCAATAATTTGTGGCCAGAGCAAGATTAACTTCATCAGTGGATCAGTACATGAGGATATTAAGATGTCTTCTTTACCTGAGCTGACCCATAGCCTCCATTCTCTCTGATCTGTTTGTTGAACCATCGGACAATTGGTCTTGCTTCATCAAAGGCCTTTAATGGAAGAAAAGGGTTGAAATACAGTGTATTTGTCTTATTTTAGTTAAATATAGAAAATCTTATCAAAGCTGTTATATAATAAGCACGATTTCCACAGACCTCTGCATATCCTCCTACACTACATCTATTATCTTCTCTGTGGTCTTCCTCATTTCCTCCTGCCTGGCAGCTCAATCTTCTATTACATGTACACTTTAGCTACATGTACTGCTCTGTGACACAGATACTTACCTTGGCCCTAACAAGAGCCAATAGAGCGTAAGCCGTGGCCTCCACTGTGAAAACTCGTCCTGCAGGTGAAGGCCAATAGGACGAATCTAAGCAAAACACAGAGACAGTTTTGCATCAAGTAATGTGGTGCTCTGTCTAATCTTTAATTTAAATAATTTTTATAATAAACTTGATAATAGGTGGGTAAGGTTATATAAATATATACACAAGTTCATACACAAGAAAAATGCATTCCATTTTTTCAAAAAGAAAGCTGCTATTTGATAGGTGCTGGCTGGGTGGAGGATTGAAGAAAAAAGGAGGAGTGAAATGCAGAAATGCAATGCTTGTTGTTACTTCAGTAATAGTTACCAGATACAACTCAGTAGATAATTGTTGGTCCTATGGAAAGAGAAGGAACCCAAAGAAGATTGCTAGGAATAAATGCACACTGGATAAGCAGAAGAAGATGGATGGATGGATGGAGGGAAAAACACAGAGGCGCAAACATCAGTGTCTTACTTTCTTTTTCTTACGATGTGGCAGGTGAACGTGCATATAAAGATGGAATCACAAACACTCATGTCATATATTTTAGAATCACGCTTAAAGAAATATACCCCCCAAAAAAGGTTACACATTCATCCAGCAGGATGTTGATCCAAAATGTTCGAGTCACTCATTTAGTAAAACCTCCTACACTACATAAATGATCCAAACTAAACTTCTCCACTTACCGTGGCTGCTAAAAAATAGATTAAAAAAATGTCATGGAGAACAAAAATCTGTTAATAGCTGTCGCCAAAACTGTCACAGAGACTGGTTGGGTCCACACTCAAATGTTGTCAAGCTGCTCTACAAGCTAACCGACAGAAAGCAATAAAACCAATCTCTGATCTTTAGTAAAGTCATTATTGGGTGTCAGAATACGCATCTATTTGTACTGATTTTGAGTTGTATATAACTTCAAAACTAACAAACTCATTTGTGTGGAACTTTCTGCTTGTCAGAATCAGAATCAGAAACTTTATTGTCATTGTCATGAGAACAACGAAATTAAGAATGGTCCCCGATCATTGCATCATCCCTAGCAATATCAAAATATAAATAAAACAATAAAATTCAATAAATAAAATAGATAGAATACTTAAAATACTAACAATTGTGCTTTCCAGTTGACAGATGTGTATTAAAAAAAATCATTTTCTTTCACATTTTTTCTCCTTCATTTATGTCAAACAAAGCTGTATGTAACGTTTCTCGCGGTTAGTATCATGGTTGCTAGGCAACCTGAACAGCGCGACGAAGGCTAGACCGTCCCATTTCACAAGCCTCTCACTTCCGCACTTCTCGTACTTATAGTACGCACAGTGCGCGTACTTCAAGCGTGCAGACCCTGAATTGGGACACAGCCATCGTGAATGCTTCCTGGCCATCCAGCGAAACTCTTGGGAAGACAACGTGAACATTTTATTTGTACTGTATAATCTGCAGATTCTGACAGAAATCTGCAACTATCCTTTGAAGCACCGCTCCTCTAAAACAGCAATAAGGATCATTATTAGGTTATCTACATTATTATGTAAATAACAAAATAACTTAAAGCAAAAATTGGGAAACATAAAGTCCGAAGTCTTTACATTAAGGGCCATCAGTCAAACAATACTGTTTGCTCTGGGTCTAAACAGAGCGCGTTGTGTGTGACGTCTTCTTTTGCGCATGCGGGCCGCTTTGAGCGTTCACACTAGAGCACGTTTGCTGTCGCATTTTAGTTGTAGTGTGAACAAGCAGACAAAAAAATCGGATTTGATCAAAAAATCGGAATTGAGCATTAAGACCTGCAGTGTGAACGTAGCCATAATGTCAAAATACATTTTTAGGCCACTTTATCTTGCGTTTATAGAAAGCTAGGATATGCACTGAACTACAGAACAATTCCTGGAATGCTAAATAGCACGCATATATTTATAGCATTTTTGAGCTTTTCTTTCTTGCAGGTAACTACACAACCACACTGATGCTTTACATGAATCTCTAATAAGCTAACATGTACGTGAATGTTAGACATGAGAGTCAATCCGTTTGACCCAAGTTTTTGTGATGCGGTTGTTGATGTAGTTTTGCACAAGCTATTTATTATTCCACTTTAGTACTACTATCTTTATATTTTGGATTGTTGTGTTACAGCACCTGGGGAAGAAAACTTAAAGAAGATCTCTCGGTTTAGTTTGTTTTCATTGGCCATGGCGTATGATGTTATGGCAACAGCATAAGGGTTGACTAAGCTTGGCAGACGCCTCTCCAGGTAGCCCACTGCTTTGTCTATGCTCGCTTGCAGATTCTGGATAGAAAGAAACAATGAAGGAAAGAAAAGTAGAAGAAATGTAAGATCACGTCGACGGGTAAGATTTAAGTTGCAGCTGCACAGATGTTTAAAGATCTGCAATATGGGAACAAAATGTACAGACTGCCAGTCTTTCGATAGATCAGTAAACACACTATCCTTCATTTTTTATATTTGACTACTGGGTTTCACATTCTGTGCGTAAAAGTTTTAAAAAAAGAGAGATAACGAACAAAAAGGCACTCACATGAACAGTTGGAGCACATATTGTGTGTGACTCTTGCATAGAAATGACGCAGAAAGCTGTAAAGGAGGCATCTGAGTCTGTGTCAAGCACATCACCCTGTACACGCAAATACACACAAGCATGTCAAAACTACTGATATATATACTACTTCTTAATATATTTAATAATAAAAGTTTGCTGATTCATCCAAAATGACATTTGGTATACTATTCTGCAGGTTTGTATTTTATGCAGGCTTTTGTTAAAATGAAGAGTTAATGTTAATGAAATCAGTGCACGCACAAGAATCTCTTTGAGGGACACACTTCCAACTTCCATAAACATGCCGTTACGTTGCTGTGTGTTCACGATCAGAAACCTGACAGCGTTACAGATCACTTCACTTTGCACTGCTATCAGATTGTTGGCCAGGGCGAACACCTTGACAACATATGCTGTCAACCTAGTAGAAGAAAGAAGGTGTATATGTAAAATCAACAAATAGTCATAATCCGAGTGAGAAAATATGCAAACATTTACATATTAAAAACCAACAACTGTAGGCCTCACCAGGTGCTGCTGGGTTCATCCTGAGTCCTAGCAAAAGATCCATCTTTTTTACTGTATTCAAGTTGGTTGTGGTATCCTAAACAAACCAAAGAAAGTAAACTCAAGTTATTCACTATTGTTCAAACTCTGTACTAAAAGTTACTGAAAACCTATTTGAATAGTATTTTTAAATTAGGTGGTTTTGTATTGCTTGTTACTGCCAAGTGTGACCTTTGGTTTTTACACACAGGGCTTTAAAAAAGAAATCTCTCATACCTGTGCTAACAGTTTGTGTTAACTTACCAGTTGTGATGTGCTGGAGGGCCTGATGACGCTGGTCAATGTTCGCAACCTCCCAGAGATCGGCTCTGTCTAAATATGTGACTGCGATAACTGGTAGGGTCATGTGAATCATGTTCTCCTCTCCACATCCTGAAGGCTGATAGATCAGACCACCCATTGACTCCCCACTAATTGTGTTCTTGAGCACGTTTCTCTGTTGTTTCCCTGAAATTAATACACAACCAGTCTCATCATTTGCCACTGAGAACAAGGTGGAACACAGGGGCGTAATTTCCAGGGGGGTAAGGGGGGTTATGACCCCTCCAATAATCAGACCCAACCAATATAACCCCTACAATAAAATTATGAATTAGAATAGAATAATCCTTTAATTGTCCCACAAGGGGAAATTTGGTTGTATCAGCAGCAAAGAAAAGCACATATACAAAAAGAACAGGACACAGAACAGAAAACAAAATTATTATTATTTTTTTTTACATATTTACATCAAAGACAATAGTTACCAGAGCAGAGTACAGTACAGCTGTTGAAATTAGCGTACAGATAGTGTGCAAACAGAGCAGGATACTGAAAGATGTTTAAATAGTTAAGAATATTTAGAATAATTAGAAAAGTGCAGATTGTGTATTGTACCTGTGCATTAAAAAGTAGACATGTAACTTCCAATAAGTTAGTGTATATATAAGCTGAGAAAAGTAATGTGCAGTTATAACAGTACAAGTTGTTACAGCACTGATGTAAACATCTGTGTTTCTTGGGAGCAGTTCTGCATAAATAGGCTGTTGATTTTATTTACTCATTTACTCAGTTAATACCAGCAAAATAGTTGTACATTTAATCATCTGGGAATTTACCCAGATTTATTTATTTATTTAGACAGAGATCTTGACCCCACACAAAAGCCTGTTCAGCACAAAGTTACACCAATGGTGGAACACGTAGCTCTTACCAAATAAATACAGTAATCCCATATGCATTTTACATATAATTTTAATAATATGAATGATTTTAATTAATTAATATGCTTGAAATGTTTGGTTTTTTTTGGCAGATATGATGTAAGCATTTGAAGGCTGATCATTAGTGTGATCATCACTGACGATATGTCACTGCATGTTGAATATTGCTAGTGCTTTTCCCAAGCAGACAAGACTGTGCTGAAAGTCTGCAGAAACTATTACTGTGAGTAATCTGACATGACACTGGAACTGCCATGTGAATGAAATTTAGTCCTGTTGGCACCACTGCCTCTTATCTCTCCAGTAATACCGAGGTGACACTGCAGGCACTCTGATGTGTATATCTTACCTGTTAGTGAGATTTGTGTGCTGGTAGGTGAGTTGGGAACAAAATCTATCACAGGAATCTTGCTATTGAGGATTTCCACTTGTCTGCCATCTATAAAGTTGAAAAAGTTTCATTAATACTTACAAAAAATAACCAGAGATGATAGCTGTTCATTATCAGGCTATAAGCAAATGAATAAGTTACTAAGTTTTCTTTAACTGGAGCTACTTAACATTGATACTCACCTGTACCTCTTTGTTTAGGGTCCAAAGTTAGAGTATGAGTAGATTTGATCAATATGCCTTCAGGCTGAAAAAACAAGCAACTTTTTAACTTGCTGTACAACAAATTTAGATGAGAATTGTTTGTCCTAGGTGGATTTGGTTATAAGAAGTATCTCAGTTTAGTTAAGCCAGATCCACTAATAAAAAGAACAACTTTAAGTCAGCAGTAATTTATATTTCCTACACTTACAAGCACACACTGAGGAAGGATGGTATGGGAAGAGCAGCGAGTGTGCCAACCTGGCTCGAAAAGCCATGGCAAAAAGGATGGATACTGTGTTTTGGCAGTTTAACAAAGTAATATAAACTCAAACAAGCAAACAAAAAATGAAATCTTAAACCTCCCCAGAAAACTACTGTATGCTGAGGGAGAGTTGAGTGTAAAACGTGTGGATTGTCGCATCAGACACAGGACACTTCCTTGGTCTCTTGTGTTCTGGGGGCCTCTGGATGTCTGGAGTTTTGATCTCCTCCATACCTGCTTCATACCCTGGAGGACGGGGCTGTGGCCCCCCCACACTCCCTAGCAGATCGTAACATGGAGAAACCTTTGGAATGCAAGCATGCTGATCCGCACAGGTATACACACAGGTGTACACACGGGTATTCACAGACGCGGACTACAGCTTTCTTGGCTGCTGCCTCAAAGCATATTGTGCGCTGTCTACAGTATCTTGCGTGCTGCACAATATCGTTTATTATTTAGTATCTACTGATATCTACTGCTAGCTAGTTTATTGTGATGGTGCTGTTTTTTTTATTATGTTGCTCTTTGTTGTTTGCTTTCTCTTCTGTTTTTTTTCTCCATACAGGTGACCCAGGTGGGGTTTTTTTTGTTTGTTTTTTTCTTTCTTCCCCCCCCCCTTCTCACTGTCTCTTCTCCCCTTTGGTTTTCTTTCTCTCTCTCCCTCTCTTTCTTTCATTCTTTCTCCCTGTCCTATCCCCCAGTCATGTCTGTCCCGTTTGTAGGAACTGAAAATAAAATAAATTCATAATTATAATAAAGGTCAATCAAATGGACCAATATGGCAAGGCCATGATGATCCACTTGGTAAAATAAATCCGCTTGGCATCTTTCTTGGCCTTAAGACAACAATTCTGATGGCTTAAGATCCAAACGGGACACAAAAAAAAAAAAAAAAAAAAAAAAAAGACAGGATAAAAAGGAGGATGGAGGTAGGTTCCAATGCATTTTTTAGATTAACCGAAGGTTTGGCAGGCTTCAGGGACTAAAAGGGGCACTCTATATGTGACCCTTAGAATGATCATAGGTGATAGCTCAACTGGAATGTGTGCTGAGCTTGACTTTGGTGCCTGCCTGTACCAATGCTATGCTTGATTTCTTAATGTATTTAATTGTACCCTGCATATCTGGCTGCATTCAATGACTTCATGTGTCTCTTAAAGGTAGGGAGCTATGTGAGTTGGTAGAATATGTCTTTCTTTCTTACCACTACTTGTAGCATTTTCACAATTCCATCACTGATACCCAATTCTGAGTCTTTGACAGCTGCTTTGATCTCAATGCGGTGCTGTCCCTCTTTTGTAGGAATGATGGTGAATGGTACAGATCGTATACTTTTGGCCCCGACTTTAATCTCCTGACGAAATTGCCCACGTTTAGATGCTGCACTGCACACATGTTCCGCCTCAGTCAGATCAATGCGCACCTTGAAAATAAGTTCATTCAAGGATTTCAAACACTTTTTGTCATAATCTACAGAATATAAAAAATCGCCACAGTCTCTGATCAAGTTCCACTGAAGAACAGTTAACTGAATAATAATAATATTAATGATGATGATAAAATGTCATTGAATGGAACATTATGGTGGTGTTGACGTGCTTGGATGAACCAGGCTTACTGTGTAAAGTTTGGGACCATAGTTGTGGATGACTGCCTTAATTTCTAGCTGCTCCCCACGAACAGCAGTGTCCGGTAGCTTCAGATCAACAAAGAAATCTTTACGGACAACTATCTCTAATGGATCACCCACACAGATACCTTCAAAAAAGAGAAAAAAAGAAAAACGGACAAAGACACAAACACAGCAAAAGAAAGACCAGTTGATGAGCTATAGGTTGGCTCCTTGATCTAGAGACAAATTATATCAGTTCATCCTCACCGTGAGTTTTTGATAGACTAATACCAGTGAGCTGCCAGGTTGTAATTGAGTCTTGCAAAGGAACATTTTTCGAAACTGATGTTGTTTCACTGAAAAACGAAATATTAACACAGTGAAGGTAGTGAAGGTACTAAGATATTTCAATTCTATATTTCAGCTCACTAACCATCTAGCTCTGTTCGCAGGGCAAGCAGGCAATTTGATATCAGACCACAGCCAACTTTCAGGGAAATTGGTGCGGGAAACAATTTCATTGCTGTCCATGAAACTGCTGTCATCATCCTCACCTGAAGTTTTAAAACGTTCACATTTTTATTCCTTTATAGTGACCAGTAGGACCATTTATAACCACCTTCCATCCATTGTTCGTGTTTCTTACTGCGAGCCAGTTTGAGGCCATCCTCCTTCCTCTCAGCTCTCTTTTTTTCTATTTCCTTGCAGCAGTGCAGGAAAGCCTCAAAACAGGCTGTATCAGCGATAAACTCACTGCGCTTCTCACAGTTAGATGAAGTTGGGGTTTCCCGGATTCCATCTAAGCAACAGTCACGTTCCAGTTTGTCTTTATATTGACTCACTGTAGAGAAAATAGCATTTAACAGAAAGACAAAAGGTGAGACTCCTTCTGACCTTTTTTTTTTTTTTTTTTTTTTTTTTACACAGAGGTATAAAAGACTAATAATTAGTTTATTTATTAGAAATAAAAAAAGTTTCTAAATTTAATTGAATTTGACAATCATTGTCACATTTTTTTACTGGTCATTTATGTTACTTTAGCTCAAAATAGAAAAAAAAAACTTAAAAATGTTTACTTTGGTACAACAACAGAGCAAAGTGGAAAGTCTCAAATAGTGATAAAACTAGTACTTTAAATCAAAACAACCTATAAATGTTCTCCATATAATTAAACTATAATTTGAATAAGAAAACACAAACGCAGAATGTGGAAAATGAATTGGAGTATAAAAATTGTTGTAGCTGTAGATGAGACAGACTGAACTATTGTACATAATAAATAAATCTTGTAGTATTGTAGGAAAAAAAAGACATTTGACTTATTTTTTCTTGTACAATCATATAGCATGGAAAAGTTAAGCTTTAGAAATGTTAGCAACACAAGGAGTTGTTTGTAAAGCCTGAAGTGTATGACAGAAGATCATGTAAGTGTTTGTTGATCTTACATAAGGTAGTTGTGACATTCATCATATCAACGGCCCTTTTTCTTCTGTTGGGGTTCAGACATTTCAGCTCTGGAAATAAACACAGACTAGACTTTACTATTTTGGTTTTAGAAGAAAGAAGGAATACAAGTGTGAGAGTAAAAAAGAGGTTACCTTGTCTGTAAGGAGTTCCAGAAGCTGTATTTGACTCAAACAGCAGCCCAGCATCATAAAATACACTCATGCTATCCTTCCCCCCACCTGGTGTGCACCCTGTGTCATAGTTCTCCACAGTGTCCCAAATCTACAGTATGGACGTTATACACACAGAGAAGCAGATAGTTGAAGTTTAGGGTTCAGCTATGAGCAGTGTTGGGGAGTAACGGAATACATGTACCGCCGTTACGTATTTAAAATACAAAATATGAGTAACTGTATTCCGTTACAGTTACCGTTTAAAAAGGTGGTATTCAGAATACAGTTACTTTGTTGAAATAAATGGATTACACTGCGGTACTTTCCCGTTTAATTTTGTCGCGGGTCAGGACTGTTTGGGTTTTGTTTGACAGCTACCTTCTTTTGTTCCAGGCGGCAGCGTTACGGTTGCCATGGTTACAGGGCGACGCTCTATCTCTCTCTCTCTGCGTCTGTGTGTTTTCTGGGTGAGAGAGCGCCTTTTTGTTGTTGTTGTTGTTGTGCTAAGCTAACAGGCAGAATGCTACAAGCATAGCTCTAAAGAATGTAGCATCATGGGCAGTGTAGTCCGTGCTGCAGGGAGAATGGACTGCCATACACATTATGGGTCTGTGAGCGCGAGGAGGGAGAAAAAGGGGAGTGGAAAGGTACGAGTTGTCATCGAGGAAAAACGGGAGCTGGAAGCATGTAAATATGATAATAACCACTGAAGAGTGCCTGACGAGCCCAGTTGTAAGTAAGCTATTAAGACTCGACTGTACACCATGTTCGTGTGTTGTTCAGTCTGACGTCACTAGCCGTGTCTGGGTCTAAACTCCGCTGCAGGTCCATATATCAAACGATCACTATGGCATTACTGAGAGTTGAAAAACTGTCTAAATTCTTTCATCTTTAATAAAAATGATCAGCGTTCTGCTCTACCAGGTGTAACAATTGAGTTTAACATCCAGGCATCCATGAAAACGGAATTTATGACCTTTAACGGAGTTAGAAGTTAGCAGGGAGTTAGCTCGCTAGCTTCTATCTAAATACAATATAGCATGTCCTGACTGCGGGGTTTTGGAAACAAATTAAAACGTACAGCTCTGTTATCACTTCCAACATAAATGAAGACAGAAAGCTAAACAGCAGTGACGTTTGTAGGGTTACTGAAGTTTGGCTAGCTGGTATATAATGATGTGCTACGTGACCGCTAGCGACACAGCTATGTTAGCATAATATAAACAAGCTTGATAAAAGTTACCGTGAGTGTTCTCGGTGGTCAGGAACAAATGTAATCGCATGGCAGGATGCTGTAAACGGACCAAACTTCAGCCAGGAGAACAACTGAGATAATCCATCCACAATACGAGGTTAGTCATTCATATACTGCTGCATGGGCTGGGCTGTAGTTACATCCTAAGGTTTTAAAAACTGAGCTTAAATAAATGATTAGCGGTAATAAAAGCCGAGGGAGGTCAACAGTGATCGCTGACTGTTTTAGGAGCTTTTTGAGATCAAATAGAAGAAAATACATAACATTAAACATGTTAACAACACAAATGCCATATTAAACGCAGACTACTTTAGACCTGGAAGTAGGATTCGTCGCGTCATCACTGAACAACCGGATAAGTTCCGTTGGAGCAGTCTTTCAACGCCTCTCTCTGTCTCTCGCAAGAAAAGTTGACCCACACAACAAAGTAAAGCTATTTTTCGACTACGAGCCGACAGAGTCAGAGGTCCCTTTACTACAGTTTGGAGTCGCGGACCTTCAGTAATAGTAATAAATCACACAGCAATAGTACATTCACGTTGTTGTAAAAAGCATGATAATATATTAAGTAATCCAAAGTATTCAGAATACGTTACTGTCATTGAGTAACGTAACGGAATACGTTACAGAATACATTTTGGGGCATGTATTCTGTATTCTGTAATGGAATACATTTTAAAAGTAACCTTCCCAACACTGGCTATGAGTGTGCTGGCAGTTATTTCTATAGTTTTTGGTTTAGTCTTCCTCCATACCGTTACATATTAAAATGTTCTTGAGCAAAAAATGCAACAACTTGTATCTTTAGTCCACTGCCGTTAAAGTGTGAGCCTTAAACTCCTTAAAGTCATTTTGAAGGGGAATAAATGAAAAATAAATTACCTTTTTTTGGGTTAGACGGTGCTTACTGTTTAGGACGTATACACCTTTGTCAACTGCGACCAGTCCAACTGTGGCTTCTGGATCACCTGTGATTTTCAGGCTAAATATTTTGCGAGGTTCATAGAATTTAGAACCATGAGGTGCAGGTTCTGATTGAAGCTGCAGCTGGAGAAGGAAGGAAAAGTAGATTTGTATTCGTTAAAGCAACCAGACTGTAAATGGGAAATATACTAACTTTAACTGTGGTGCGCAGGTGTGTAATTTTCCCACTTAAATTGCTACATCATTATTATGCGTCTCACCGAACCCATGCAGGAGTCTTCTACATCCACCCAGACAGAGTCTGACACAACTTCGTTATCATTTGGATGATAATAGGCGATGATGCGGAAAGATGGCAGCAAGTCTTTGGTAACAGTGATGATTAAGGATATCATTATTTGACCACTTGTTCTGTAACGGCCATATTTCACGAGCTGACCTCTGCTAAGTATCTAGAGAAAAGGAACTGAACATCAACACTTATCTCGTATGTATGTACAGTCTACTATGTACGTTTGTTGTGTAAGTAAATATGTATCTCACCAAGTACGTTATGTCATTTTGAACATTTTGCTGCCCACTGAGGTGAATGTTGATCTTCATGTTTTGCCTGTTTTTTACTTCAGCTGTATCCACCCCTTTAAAAACATTAAAAAAATTTGACTTAAGAATGATTATTTTTTGGATGTCACTACCTCTCTAATGTTATTTCAGTACATACCTATGTGAATGTAACAGTTGCTCTGAGAGGCATATGGGAGAGCAGTCATGGTGGCTGACGCTTGCCTTTCAGGTGAAATTTTAACATCGTTGGTCTTTGCCTACAATAAAGCACACGTAAGCTAATAAAGTAATTGACTTCGCTCTCACTTTCATTCAGCCTGCATATAGAGGTGACCCATGTACAGTACAACATTGCTTTATGTGCAAAGTTGAATTTAATTATATCAAAGCCAGTATTCAGTAACAACTAAATATATACAGAATAATAATTATGAGACAATTAACCTAACAGTATCTTTAAAAATTTCTCCCACTGGGGATTTGAAGATTCTTGCATATCAGATAAGCTTATCTAACAACTGACAACTATTAGGTTTTATGACTTACTATGATTTTCATTGGTTGAGGATTATTGACTGTATTGATAGTAAGCCTCGCCATGCCATTAGCTGCGGTAAAGCCTTGGACATCACCTGGGTCAATCATCACTGCAACACCTTGTGCAGGAGAGCCATCAGGATTCAAAACCTCAATCTGCAAAACAAAGCAAAACAACAATGATTTTTATCATTTTATCATTTTATCTACTCTTTTTGACCATCTTTATACTTCTCCGTCAACGCTGTCAAAGCAAATATTCACATTTTTCACAATGCCTGTCACAATCCTGGTAGTGGCGATTTTACGATTTTCTTTCATGTTTATTTTCTTGTTCTTTCTCTTTTCATGGGGATAAGCGGGGGGGGGGGGGGGGGGGGGGGGGGGGGCCTCTGTCATGATCCTGGGTCTTTTGACCTAGCGTTTTGAGTTTTAGTTTATTTTTTATGTTTATGGTTTATGTTTAAGTTCATTAGGTTATCTAAGTTCATTTGTTTATTAGATTCCCCTTGTGTCTTCTACCCCTGTCTTTTAGTCTCCCTTTGCCCTTTATGTGTTTCATGCTGCATGTCTTATGTTGTCAAGTTTGTATTGTCATGTCTGCGTCTCATGTTTCCTCTTTTATTTTGAAGGTCCATGTCCTACGTCAGTGTAGTCAGCTTTGCTTCCTTTGTTTCATAAGTGTCAGCTGTTTCCCCATGTGTTTCCACTTCCCCTAATCACCCTTGTGTGTATTTAGTCTGTGTGTTTCTGCTCATTCTTTGTCAGGTTGTCTATTGTTCATGTCATGTTTCCATGTATTGTTCCATCCAGGCCACGTTTCATGTTGAGGGTTTTTTCATGTTTGTTTATAGGTCACCCAGTTTAGGTTAATGTTAGTTTTGCTTTGTTTGTACCTTTTTTTACCTGCCCCATTAAACGGCTCGCTTTTTGTTAATATTTAAGTTTTGTTCTCTGTTCCTTGAAGTCTGTGTTCTGGGTCCTTTTCGTCAATCCATACAGTCTGCCTCTGCCAGACTGTGACAATGCCATCCAGTGGTCATTTCTAAAGTGACCATTTATGTATCTCAGATCATCTAACCATAGTTTTATTTTTACAAACATGCAAATAAAGGTAATTCACATTACCGCAACATCGAAGGACATTCCTGGTTTGAAATATCTGGACGTTTTCTTGAAGTGGATGGTGTAAGGTGATGTAACAATCTGAATACCTGTCAGCTCTGCCTCTGCCATTTCACTTCCTGTACAAACAATTCCATTAAATATATGAATTAAAAATGATTATTAGCACTTTAAAACACAATAAAAACAGACAAGCAAAGATTTCAGGGCAACGGTAATATAGAAAGTTAAATGTACATTATTTTTGGTGCAGTATTTCAAAAGCAACTTAGATGCATTTTAAGTTGTTGGCTCTCAGTATATTAATAGCACAACATAAATACAATATAAGGACTACATTTAATATTGCGCCATGAATGCTATGATCCCAATTAATCCCAATAAAATGGAAGCGAAATTTCACACACAGGACAAGTCTCCGTCTGTCCTCTGTTGTGTTTTCCACATGGTTGTCTCTCTCCCTGTTCTGTGTTTTTCTATGTGTGTGTGTGTGTGTGTGTGTGTGTGTGTGTGTGTGTGTGTGTGTGTGTGTGTGTGTGTGTGAGAGAGAGAGAGAGAGAGAGAGAGTGGAGAACTGAGAACTGATTGTACAGGCATTATTAAATATTTACCAAAACCGTGTTTAAATTTATAAAGATAATAATATCAAGAGTTAATTTGGCTGAACAGGGGACTTTAATAATCTAACAATGTAATTAATTAATATAATTAATAATTAGTAACTTTTTAAAATTTACATGTAGGATTTGTTTTACGATACACAGATCAAAAATGTTAAGGGAACATAAGACAAAGCCAGTTAAACTTCAGGCATATAAGTCTATCAAGTTAGGAAGCATAAATCATTGTATATGAATCATATCTTTTTTGATCCAAATGAAAGCAACAACAGGAACACTGAAAAGGCAACAAGAAGACACTGCCCAAAAGACAATATCGGACTATAGACATATAGACACAGACGGTTGCTTTTTGCTAGTGTGCTTGTCATTAGTGATAGCATTAGACTGTTACTGAAATGTATTCAGCTTGCACAGGAAGTTAGGTAAGGTTTGCTGTGTCTCCCAACATAGTCTTAATATTACAGAGGATATATCAAGAAATGAGGTGGAAAAGAAGACAACGAGAGCTGGACAGGACTAGGAAGGGCATTAACTGAACAGCCGGGCTGATATCTGCTCCTCTGTGCAGAGAGAAACACTGCCAGAGCCCTTCAAAAAGACCTTGAGATGGCTCACATACATTATTCTGAGATAATTGCCAGAGAACACCAGAACTCCAAACACAGTTACATAGTTATATAGTTTACTGTGTAGCTTTTTGCACAGAGAATGACTGCTCACGGGATATTTCCTATTTTTTGGTTATGTGTGAAAATATCAGCAGTTTATGCAATCCTCAGACCAGTTTGTCAATCAAAACATCCATCTCTCTCATTCTGATGCTTGGTTTGAATTTCAGAAGGTCATCTTGATCATGTCTACAGACCAATATTGAGTAACTGGCATGTTGTTGGCTGATTGGGGATTGACATTAACAAGCAGTCCAACAGTTGTACCCAACAAGGTGGCTGGTGGGTGTATTTCATCTTATTGAGAGTATTTCAGTAACACAGCCATTTACACACCCATTAATGCTTGTGTTAGCTATAGGTGTACTACTATAATTAACATTCACCTTTGATATTTTTAATTACACTCACATGCTCTCTTTTACCATTTCTTACCGCTGTCTGTCAGCACATTGACAGCTGCAAATATGGAGCTCCCCACCAGGCTGGAGATGTTTTCAAAGGTCTGTTTGATGTGCTCTTTCTTCAGCGTGACTGTTCCTACACCATTCTCAATCTACAACACATAACACACATAATATTAGTGCTTTATTTCATCTGGATGCAAATGTTGCAGCTTAGACCCAAACAGAAAACATTTGTTCCATTCTTTGCATGTGTTTTAATACATGTGCGTAAAAGAAAAATGTGTGCGACAGAAAGACACAATAATAAAGATGAAGTGATGGCACACAACAGTGATGAACAAATGTGTGAGTATGTACCGACACTTTCTGAAGCGAGGCCTGAAAATTTGTCTTTTGGTCCTGATGCGAAACTCCAAATACCCCAAAAGCTGACCCATCCACCTCTTCACCAAACAGATAGCTAAAGCCACAAGAAAGTAATTAATAAGCTAAAGAGGCCAACAAATGGGTATGATTAAAATAAAAGCATCAAAAAAACATAAAAAAAAAACAATCTAAAATCTAAAAAACATTTTACATACGTAGCTTTGATGTTGATGGTGAGCTCATCACTGTCCACATAGAAGAAAGGATTTTCACGCGTCAGCTTGACCTCGAAATTGGGCAGCACTGAAATGACATTTTACTGTATGGTGAAGATAAAGTAAAGAGGGTAAAAGTATTGTTGTACAGGTTATATCTAAAGTGGATTTAACCCCTGGGCCTGAAAAGTGAGTCCAGAAAATGGGGAGAAGCCTTAAACCTGCATTCTTTGTAGCAAGTAAGAAAAAAAAATCTGTTTTGTTTGTTTATGTTTCGGTGGGTATGGTATTATTTTCTTGTGCTTCTAATTTTTTTTGTTTGTTAGGTGAGTTAATTCCCTTTTCTGATCCATTCTGTCCTAGTTTCATTTATGTGTTTTGGTCCTTCAGCCTAGTCTCTGTATTTCTGTATTTTTTGTTCCACTGTTTAGTTGTGTCAAGTTGATGTTCTCTAATTTTAGTTAACCTCACTTGTGTTCCCACTGGTTTCCTCTCCCATTGTCCTTTGTTATGTCCTTCCTCATGTCTTCCAGCTCTGTTTCCACATTTTTACTTTCTTTGCTCCCACTACTGCTACTGTGTTGGACTTTTGCATTCCGTTTAAAGTAAAGCATTAAAGGTAATTTTGAATTTGATTCCTACCTTCTTGGGTCCCAAATCCTGCTTGGCACACAGCTATTTCATGACAACGTGATCTTTACATTGCAAATGATGCTCCATATTAGTGAATAAGCAAGATTGTGCTACTAATATGGTGACAGCCAAAAATGCTTAGAGACTTCAGAAACAGAGCTTCACAAGGCGGTGGCATGATACCTACATCCATCTTTTAAATGCAGTCTATGATGAAAATGCCCATGAGATAGCTCACCATAATCCTTGACCTCAAATTCTGCAGAATAGCTCAACTGTGGTTTACTCTGGAAACTCGCCATCACTTTCCACAGTCCAGTGCTTTCAAAAGACAAACACATGTACATAGAGTCAGACTGACATGTGAAGGATGTCTTCCAGGACGATGGCATGTTTCAGTGGCTAATTCTGTTGCTGTTTTGGTTTTCTCAATTCCCTAAAGACTCATCCAATTTAAATGTGCAGAGCTGAATCCCCAATTTAATACACTCATAGTGCTTAAATATCCAGAATGATGTGTGTGTAGTTTGGCATATTTTTGTTTTTAACTGAGACATGGTGATGCTTTTAGATGAGTAACATAAATGCTAACATGCATATGTTGAAATGCTGATGTTTATGAATAATTGTAAGTGTGTTTGCCAGGTTTTGTGTGTTAAGCAGAATCCACTTTTACTGTATTTGCTGAAATTTTCCTTTGTTTATCTTTTAATGTCTACTTTAATGTCTGCTTTAGTGACATCACAACAAGCTTGGATAAAATCCTATGCACACCCTTTTCAGCAAAATAGGGAACATCTTACTGCCAGACACGAACACCTTTTTGTGATGAAAACGCAAGACAAAAATGTTTTAAGGGGCATTAAATGCATGGCATACTGCCAATAAAATTACCCTGTGATGTTTAGTTAATTCTTTATAAAATCATTCACATATAATGTGAAACTACTTTCTAACTGCTCTGTCCACTTCTTTGATGCAGAATACCCCTTTCTCACATCAAGTATCTAGGAAATGTAAATGGATCACCTGCCTGCAAAACCGCGCACGTTCTCAATAATAAATTCCGTTGTAATAAACACAGAGACGATGGTACAGGTGCTTAACATGTGCAACTTGCAAATATTAGCATTCTAATAAGTACTAAATATAAGCATGTTAAAACTCTACTTATCACTGTGTCTCAGTTATTCCATATATGTAAAAGTAACATACAAGAAACCCAACCCCCCCCCCACCCCCCCCCACCCCTCCAAAAAAACAAAAACAAAACAACAAAGCATGGAATTAAAAAATATATACCTGACAATTTCATTAAGTTGAAAATGTCCAGAGTGGATTCCTGATTTCACAGAAACTGTATCGAGTGGGAAAATGATGCCTTCAGGGTTCTAAAAAAGAAAACAAAATAAAAACCAAAAAAAAAAAAAAAGTTTTATAGTTTGATTTACAAAAAAAAAATCTAGCTCCTTCATCTCTTCTGTCATACTGTTGTTGTATTATTTATTCTATACACTTAATGTTTTCATGGCATATTAAGTTATATTATTAAGAGTCTATTAAGACTCCATAAGCTCAAGCCTTTATCAATCTCAGTCATACTGCCTTCATACTACCTAGATATGAAAAGCAACAGAACATGTAATATGACAATGAATTCTTCAACCAAATGACCTCAAAATTCAATTAAATAACACATTTTAATACCCATCCCAAATTAATCCATTCAGTCAAATTCTAGTCTGTCTGCTAGTTAGTTTATTGCTTGGTGCAGACTGATGGTAGTGGTTTATCCTCTATAAAACAATGACAACTTGCCTTCATCTAAAAATAAAGTTCTACAATATCACATTCATTATGAAATAAAAGAATAAAACAAAAGCAATACCACAAACTGAATGGCAACAGAGGTATCACTTATGGTGGAATTGTCCCGCTCCACTGGTTCCATGTTAGGGGTCAGTGCAAATAACCTGTAATGAACTGAGAGAAAGGTTATTCATGTTATTCTACATTTAGCTCTGTGACTGTTTGGCTTTTTCAGCTGCTTGTAACAGTAGTGTATGTAACGTGTTACAAAGTAACAAAGAATTGTATGTTTACGTCCTGATCAGGATAGAGCTTTGTGTCAGTGTGTGCCTATGTGACAATGCATCTATAACCATGTTATGTAGTATTGTAAAGTGAAGTAAAAATTAAAGGTGGGCAAATCATTTTAAATATCAATTGAATATCACTGGTATTGGCATTGGATTGATACTAGCATGATAGGATCAACACTTTGTTTCTATCTTCTAAGTTCTATATGTAGCTCACTGAATCTTGTTAGATTAAATATTTTTTGAAAATGAAAAAATATGCCTCAAATATGTGTGTTCTGACTCTTCAATGTCTTTTATTTATAGCCTATAGAACATTTCAGCACCTGAAGTTGACCTAAAAAGTCCTTTAGAGACAAGCGCAGTTACAATAGAGGTCTCCAAAAAAACATGACAAGTTGAAGTGTGTGTGTGTGTGTGTGTGTGTGTGTGTGTGTGTGTGTGTGTGTGTGTGTGTGTGTGTGTGTGTGTTAAGAATTTGTAAACTGACAATGATTCATCTCATGCAAAATGACACACTGCCCTTCCCTACATAAATTGCCTTTATATTAAAAGTATTGGTTATCAGTATTGGCAATACAGGCCCTGTATTTATTTTATCAGACTCTGCAGTATTACACAGCACTAGTAACAAGTAGAGCAAGTAATTTGATATTGCAATAAAGTAAAAAAAATGCTTTTAGAAATCCCCAACACTACAAAGGGGGTTGATTGTACACATTGTAGTTTGCTGTGGGAGCCAAAGGGAGGCGCCAGATTTTCAGGTTTAGTTGTAACTCTAAGTAAAACATAAAGGTGAGCTCTTTCATTCCGCATTTAAACAGAGTAATGCTGTGCTTCCAAGGGTATCAGTAACCCTGCATTTAACTTCACTTCCAGCGGAACATCTTTTTTTCACCACTAGAACTATAAGTCAAAGCAACAGCGCAGCATTGGCAGGAACAACAGCTATATCAACATAACATATACATATATTTTAAAACACAATTTCCTTAAACTCAAAATGAAACACAAAGCTTCAGAGACATGATATGAGGTTTTTTTCCTACACTAGAATGATTGTATGATGCTCCTTGGTCTGATTTTAAACTTTGCTGTAGGTTTTGTGTTAATACTTAAGAATGAAAGAAAGACTTTGTTTATGTCCTCATTAGGATAGAGATTTGTGTTGTTGTGTGCCTCATATGTGACAACGCATGTTGGGCCATGTTATGTAGCATTGTAATATGCCACATTTCCCAACATGCCACAGTGTTTTTCAGCACAGTTACATTAAAACCATCGGTATCTGTAGACTTCCGCTATTTTCAACAGACCTTCATTTATCTATTGAGCTCTACTTAGACCTCTTTATATACTTTTCTTGTTTCTGTATCCAGGATACAAGCATGCAGAGCAGGATTTAAGATTTCCTTTTTTAAGATATAAAGGAGAAGCTGAACAATGACCTCTTTCTTTTATCATAAATTACTGTTTGAACAAAACAATAACAAGACAATCCAACATAAAGAGCTAAGACTAAACAACTTTCTTTCTATTATGAAATTCCTCTTTAAATTCAGAATGTCTAAAAATACAGAAGCATTTTATCATTGTGTATTGAACTTACCTTTGCTGTTGGGTGTGTAGAGAGTCTTGTCCGTCTGGATGAAGATGTATCCAGAGTGGAAGGACACTAGGACAATTTTCTCCAGTTTCACATCAGGGAACTGAGCTTGCAGGTAAACATACTGCTTCCTTTGTGGATCCCTACTGAAGCCTTGATTGGGGATCTTGGACCAGTGTGAAGGAACAGTACAATGCAGGGTACATGAGATAATTAAGTTAAGGTGGTAGTGCAGTGCCACTTCAGAAACTATTCGGACACTTCTACTTTTTGCACACTTTACAGTTTTGCAAATGTAATTTTTCAATGAAAAATTACATTTACAAAAATATTAAAAATTACAAAAATATTAAAAAGTGTTTTTCTATTTATTCTCTTTCCTAATTTGTAACAATCTGATATGTCATTTTTGAAAGTATTCAGGCTCTTAAGTCTTTAAGTCTTTTGAAGCCTGGATAAGAAGATTTGTCTGTAAAGTGCTGTCTTCAGGCTCCTTCACAGATTGTATGTGCTTTAAATGGAGGCTTTAGCTGGACCACTCATTAACAGTCAGTATTTTTTTGGCTGTATGGTTATCATCAGACCAATTTCAGTTGGCATGTACTTTTAATAAGGTTTTCTTCAAGTATCTGCATTTGGCAGTGTTTATCCTTCCTTTACTATTTCAGATCTCCACCAAAACAAATTGCAAATACCATCATGCTTCACTGTCTGGACTGTATTGGCCACATGATAATCATTGCCGGGTGTAAATGGATCATAGCTCTTGATGTTTTGCTCAAATAGTTCTGTTTTTGAGTCATTACATCTTTGTTCGTGTGTGCTGTGACCTGAAAATGTATCTGGAAAACTTGGATTTTCTTCTCTAAAAGTTGCTTCCTGAAAACTGAAAGGGTTTTCCATTGGGCACATTCTCCCATTTTTGCAGAGGAATTTCTAAACCTCTTTGTGTGATCACTGGGTCCATGTTTACCTCCCTGACCAACTTTCCTTTCTAATCTGTCTGGCTAAAACACTATAAAAAGTATGTGTAGTTTTATACATGTTACTTTCAATTATAGAGCCAACTGCTCCTGGACAATGGAAGATTTGCTAATGGTTATATAAACTTGCTTTAATCTTTTCTTCACCACTGGCTTTGTTTTTTTAATACAATTTTTAACATTTCTAAAAACATTTTTTTTGTTTTATCAATGATTATTGAATGTAGACTAATATGAAAAAGTCAGTTTGATTAATTCAAAACAAATTTATAACAAATCTTACAACACAAGAAACATTTAAAAAACGTAAGGTGTCTAACTTAATGGTGTACATATGCTAACCTTTAACTTAAACTCTTGTTCTGTATCACTTTGCTTATTATTATGCAAAAACTGAGGGCTGACAAATCCAAACAAGACTTACCTACCAACGAAACCAGTTAACAGTAACATAGATTTCCATATTTCTGCATTACCTTAATTTGTCCAAAGGCCTGAAATTTATTTGCACTGTTGAGGTTCACAGATGTTGATATCAGCGTTTTGGATTTGGTCGGATAGCTCATTACACTAATTTCAACCATTAAATCGCTTTCATCAGTGCAGTCTTGACACTCCACAAAGATGTTTTGTGCTGTTCCTACCCCCAACAAGTTGGGGGCAGACATCACCTTCCTATGGAGCAGTGGTGAGACAGAGAGGAAAAAATTAAACATTGCTTCTAAGAACAGGCAAACACACTGTTGTTTACCACTGACAAATACAAAGATTTACTTTTATTTGTTTTTTCCCAAAAGCTGACGGGAAGTTCTGGTTTAAACAATATTTTTGACTCTCTTCTGCTTCGAACTGGACTTTACACATAATAAGTGATCCATTGATTATCTTGACCAAGGTACTAAGTACTAAGTCAATATAATATTTCATCACTGTTGTTATTGTTTATTATGGTTGGGACGGGAAAAATAAAAAACATCTAAAAAGTAATAAAAAGTATAGTTACTTGCAACAGAATGTTAATTTATACAACAGAAACTGCTAAAAGACTAATCATTATGGAAGTAACAGATGAAATGCAATTATTGAAAATCTTTGCTCGTATAGGTTCAATTGGAAAACCAGTAAATCAGTAAGAGTAGGGACAGAGTTCCCAGACAAAGACAGCTTTTATTTGAGCTTTAAAAATAGACTGGAACTGAAGCAGCATATTAAAATGAATTAAATAATACATTATTTCATCACTACCAAATTTAAATTTAATTTTCTCATCAAAGATTTAGTGTATGATATAACACTCTGACATGTCTGAGGGGTGCAGAGCCTACATTTGATATTGTGTTGTACATATAAACATTACAGAAAATATTTAATAGCACCAGTAATATAAAAAAAACAATAAATTCATGCTGTTATTTTACAGACAAACATTTTCAAATCACAAACTCTTGTAAACTTAGAGTTTGGATCTTGAGCTCTACTTACATGGGTGATCCATCAGTCAGAAAAATTAAGGACAAAAAGGCCAGTGAGGCTAATAGCCAAAGCCAAGTCCTGTATGTCCCCTTGCCTGATCTCATATCTGCCCTTACCATACAACTCTGGAGCATTTTTATCCACGTAATGCCCTCCTTCTGCACTTTGACTTTGACCCAGTGCAGTTTTGCCCAATTAATCTACTAGATCAGGTAAAAAATCATTGAAAATGTTAAAAGTATGCACATTTGCATACTAGAGCAGAGTTCTCTATGGTTTGATTTTAAAAAATCAGGACACACACTATCAGACTTAAACAGCAACCACCATCTTTTTTTCCAAAGCTAACACTGTTTGATAAGCTGCTGTATCTCCAGAAATTGGTGAACAGTATTTTTTTAAAAAGTAATATCTAATGCAGCATCATTCATATAAAAGATATGATTCTATTGCAACAGCAAGTATCATTTGTTCATGTTAAACTAAGAAAGGTAAAATTAAAATGCAAAATCTTTCTCAGCAATGGAAATAAAATCAAATGAGATAATGTGTAACTGGAATAACACTTTAAGATTGACACTTGGCCCAGAGGTTACTTGAAATTAGATTACTTGTGTGTGTGTGTGAGAATAATCTTCTAACAGGTGTACTCATCATAAGATTTGTAAACAGGAAACACAAGAATGCACTGCTGAAGCAGGGGAGGAAACTAAAAGGATCGAACGTCTACATGAATGACCATCTAACCAAATCCAATGCTGACATAGCGAAGAAAGCACGATACCTAAAGAAACTGGGTAAAATTCAGAACACCTGGACTGCAAACTGTAAAATATTTATAAAGCTCAACGGTACACCGGAGGAAGCCAAGGTGCTGGTCATCAAATGCATCCAGGATCTGGAAAAATATTAACAGGTCACTTGACTACAAAGGCAAGGAGCGGGACAAACAATCTACAGTCATCAAAGCAGGTAATAGAAGACAACAACGGAAGCTAAAGCGTAACGTATTCAAGGATGAAACAATCAATTAATTCATTATCTGGGAATTATACATTGCTACCACAAAGGATTGCTAATCAGGAGATAAATTCACCAGTAAACACGGAATACAAAACACACTTCACAGAGCAGGACATTGATCCAGAACTGAACTTTTTTAACATCAAAAATACCTGCTACTATCATACTGAAGAACAATTCAACAAAACTGTCAAGGTCGACGGCAAAATATCTATAATCCACTTTAATAGTAGAAGTTTATATGCAAATTTTCACAAAATAAGGGAATATTTAAGCAAATTTACACATCCATTCAGTGTGATTGCAGTATCTGAAACATGGATTAATAAACAGAAAGGAGAGGACTTTGTAATAGATGGATATGAATTAAATCTTACAAATAGAAAGAATAAGAATGGCGGTGGTGTGGCCTTGTTTGTGGATAAAAATTTTAAATACAAGGTGGTAGAAAAAATGACGATGGCGGTAGATAATATATTAGAGTGTGTAACAATAGAAATTAGTATGGGAAAAGAGAAAAATGTCATTGTAAGCTGTATATATAGAACACCAGGTTCTAATATTGAAATTTTTAAGGAGTGGGTAGATAAAACATTCATTAGGACAAATCAAAAAGTCATGTTGATTTGTGGGGATTTTAACATAGATCTACTAAATCCAAACAAGCAGAGAGCGACAGAGGAATTTATTAATACAATGTATAGCTTGGGACTTTTTCCAGTGATCACTAAGCCCAGCAGGATTACAGCACAGTCGGCAACCCTAATAGACAATATATTTACTAATGAAATAGAAAATAGAACCATAAGTGGTCTCCTAATTAATGACATCAGTGATCATCTACCTGTTTTTATAGTGTATAACAGCAATTACAGGAAGGTTAAACAGCAAAACACAATAAAATACAAACGAGTGAGAACAGAAGAGTCAATAAACGCATTCAAAAGTGATTTACTCAAGCAAGAATGGGAGATGCGGTATAAGGAAAAAAATATTGATAAAGCTTATGAGATTTTTTTAGGAAAATTTAAACTGTTATATAATAGTCATTGCCCAGTAAAGAAATATAGTAAAAAACAAAAATATGCAGAGTGCCCATGGATTACAAAAGGATTGCAAAATGCCTGTAAGAAGAAAAATACCTTATACAGAGAATTTATAATGAACAGAAGTACAGAAGCTGAAAATAAATACAAGAAATATAAAAATAAATTAACGAGTATTTTAAGGTCATGTAAAAAGGAATACTATGAAAAATTACTGATTATGAATAAAAATAATATTAAAGGGATCTGGAAAACATTAAATACCATCATCAAAAAGGGCTCGGGGCAGGCAGACTATCCTTCGTATTTCGCAAATAATGATAGAAATATTACTAATATGAGAGATGTGGTAAATGATTTCAACAAATTCTTTGTAAGTGTTGGGCCAGACTTGGCTGAAACAATTCCTGATATAACAGATTCTGTAGAGAAAGAAACTAGACTCATTGACCGCAATCCTCATTCAATGTTCTTAACGGTGGTGGAAGAAATGGAAATCATTGATATTGTTGGGAAATCACAAACAAAAAACTCTACAGACTCTGACGACATTGATATGGAAATCGTTAAGAGAGTGATAGAGGGCATTTCCAAACCCTTAACACACATTTGCAATTTGTCCTTACAAACTGGTACATTCCCAAAACAAATGAAAACAGCTATAGTAACACCACTGTTTAAAAATGGTGACAGACACCAATTCACAAATTATAGGCCTGTCTCTCTACTTTCTCAATTTTCAAAAATACTGGACAAAGTCTTTAGTAATAGACTTGACAAATTTATAGATAAACACAAAATAATAATGGATAGTCAGTATGGTTTCAGATCAAATAGATCAACATCAATGGCATTAATGGAACTGATCGAAAATATCACCAACAATATAGATAAAAGACAATGTATAGTTAGTGTATTCATTGACCTAAAAAAAGCTTTTGACACAATTAATCATGACATATTACTTGATAAACTGGAGTACTACGGCATTAGAGGAGTGGTGTTAGAATGGGTAAAGAGTTATTTGAGAGACAGGCAGCAATTTGTGAAAATTGGGGAATATCAATCAGAGTGTATGGACATTGTTTGTGGAGTTCCGCAGGGGTCAGTATTGGGACCAAAGCTGTTTATCCTCTATATCACTGATATATGCAGAACATCAGATATACTACAATTTATTCTATTTGCAGATGATACAAATATTTTTTGTGCTGGAGAGAACTTACAGCAGCTTTTGGAAATTGTCACACAAGAAATGATTAAACTGAAAACATGGTTTGATAGAAATAAGCTATCATTAAATTTGGAAAAAACTACATTTATGTTATTCGGAAATTGTAAAAAAGATGCAGGAGCAAAATTATTAGTAAACAATGTTGAAATAGAGCAAGTTTCGGATACAAAATTTCTGGGTGTGATAATAGATAACAAAATCTGCTGGAAACCTCACATAAAACATATACAAGCCAAACTGTCAAGAAGCATCTCCGTACTAAGTAAAGTTAAATATTTTTTGCCTTCCAAATCACTCCGGGTACTTTATTGTTCACTTATATTGCCATATTTGGAATACTGTGTGGAAATTTGGGGAAACACATATAAAACTGCACTTCAACCAATATGTAAAATTAAAAAAAAAGCAATCAGGATGATTAATAAAGCAGGATTTAGAGACCATACTAACATCATGTTTTTGAAATTAAAAATACTGAAGTTTATGGATCTTATAAAATATAAAACTGCAAAAATTATGTACAAGGCCAGATACAATATGTTACCAGGAAATATACAGAGGATGTTCTATGACAGAGAAGGAGACTATGAATTGAGGGGGAAATTGAATCTAAGGATTCTTAAAGCACGGTCAAAGGTTAAAACCTTTTGTGTCACTATTTATGGGGTAAAACTGTGGAATAGTTTTACTATAGATCTACAGCAATGCTCAGGAATTAGTAAGTTCATGAAAATACTTCGAAAACTGATTTTGGAAGAATATGATACCGATAAAGATGATCACCCATTGTATGTATAAAAATATCAAATTATATCCAAATTATATCAATCACGGTAGCCAAGTTTATATAGGTTCTCCTCGTGTATCGTGTGGAGTATGTGATGATGGGAATTAGGTGAATTATGTGGGATCAATAAGATGTTGAGCAGGGGTAGGAATTAATAAGTATATTCATACTTCTTCCTACTCCTTTTCAGACCAAACATTGTTACATTATGTCAGACGATTTTGTTTTATTTCATTATATATTTTTTGTTTATCTGAACACATACGTGTGTCTGTGTGTATATCTACATATATATTCGTATCTGTAAATGAAAATATATGTAGTGTGTATATATTGTTTTTTGTTTTATATGTCTGAAACAAATAAAGATACAATACAATACAATACAATACTTAAAATTACTTATGTAGTACTTAAAGTATAATCTGTATCTCCTTTCCTGTAAGATATCCTTAATTTCCAAATAAAGTACCTTACATTTACTTGCAGAGTAATTAAATGTGGGGTACCTGCAGAAAGCTGATTCTGTTCTGGACCTAGACATTCCCAAAGTCTTGAGTTAGTGAATGGCTACGTCCAGATGAACAGAATCAACTTTCTGGGCTTTTCTTACCTGGATGATTGTAAATGAAGCGATATATTTCTATAGTCTATATAATGCATCATCAAATTGCTGTATTAAAACAACATAAAATGCTGTCTACATGATAAATGTTGTCATGTCATTTTTTTGTTTTTGTTTTTTAAATCTTCCTTCCTATGGGTTTTACCTATATTCAGTTAAACAATTTTTTCTAGGTGGTTTATACTGTAAGACAAAGAAAGGTAAAGAAAAGCTCAACAAATCAGATTATTCTTTATGAGAAAGCACTGGGGGATGCTGGAAAAGAAAAAAAGAAAAAGAAAAAAAAAACAACTTTTCTAACATGGAGAAACCTCTGGCAGAAACAGGACCTGGAAGTGGCAACCATCTGTTGCAACCAGGTCCTTTTGGGGGTGAGGCCATGCTTCTCAGCTGGAAAAGGGTGGCATACCCAACCCTCCCATGGTTGTTGACCATGTGGGCATTAACATCCCTGAGCAGAGGTTGGATCAGTCTTCAGCACTCCTCCCAATGACTACAAAAAGCTGGGAACAGCTGGCCACAAATGACAGTCAGGACCTAATTCCTGACACAATTCTTTCATTCACCTGGGAAAATGCCAATGTACAAGCAACTC